ATGTCCACTTCTGGAGCGTGTACATCATGAGTATTAGGGATAGATGAGAGCTGTGTGACTCATTGTGGTGTCTTGCAACCTGACCTGGTGTGTGGTTAACTTTATAGGACAAGGTCAGGATACAGTTTTTATATTCACTGACCAACTACAAGCTAATTTAGATAATAGATAATTACTGCCTAAGTTATTGTGGAGGTGATTCAAGATGGCTGCTGAGTGGTTAGGCTTGCTTCTAGAAGGACTTTGCCTCATGTCACATGCTCAGAAGAGATTGTTTTATATTTGTCTAAATGTCAGCAAGTGTGACTAGCTGCTGCGTTTTGACACTTGTTTGACATTTTGCATTTGTCCATTAAAGACTTGTGTGGTATGCGTCACTACCTGTTTGCTCTTTTAAACAGCAGTGGTTGACTTGCTGCATCAGTAGTTTCACAGTAGCATTTGTTTGGTTAGATCATTTTTCTCTTTTTTTCTTCTTGCCAAAAAAATCTGACGTTGATCTCGACACAGTGCAGCAGTTCCTCAGGTTGTTTTGTGGTGTCGATGGGGGAGAAAAAAGCGGTGCCAAATTTCTGTAAAGCCCACGAGAGAGACGAAGAAAGCAATCAGTGTGCCATCGCGAGCGTGCGTGTGCTTCGCAGAAGAAGAATGCGGGCATTGTAGGGGAGGAGAAGGAGCTTGAGGGAGTGATGAGTAAGGTGAGGAAGGAAAAAAGGCAGGAGTGCACAAATGTTTTCCAGTTGCAATTTCGTGTGTTTGGATTGGCTTTTTTTTCTGCCGTCTCCTGCCGAATGCTGTCTAGGAAAGCAATAATACAATAACAAAACACTGAGCTGAGGTTAGAGGTCCCGGATAAGAACAGAGAAAGGAGACACAAACACTGTGTTAGCCTTTTTGTTTCCCCTCACAGTTTGAATATGGCTCTTCGTCAAGGTAAAAAGTCAAGGAAGTTTGAGTCCAAACACATCTGGAGATCCTCAGAGGACAGAGAGGATGAAAAGAAAGGGAAAACCCTGGGAACGGAGGCGGCCAAGACCCCAATGGATACGGCGAGAGGAAGTGTGTGTCTGTGTTTTTGTGTGCATGTGTGTGTGTATGTTCTCTAGGCAGTGCTGAGTCATCGCTGGGCTGGCCAGGCAGATAGAACCAAGCTTCTGGGAGGCCAGCTGAAGGGGCAAAGTGAGGCATGCACTGAGCATGCTCTGAAAAAGTACAGGAAGGGGATTAGTTGTTGTGACAGGACACATCCAGGAACTTTAGTGACGCAATATTTCACGATGCCAACTTTTCACTGCCTCATTGACGTACGTGTCCCCTTGATATGTTTGATGGTGCTAATGAAAAAACGGCACGCTTATTTTAAGATGTGACCTCACGACTTTTACAAGTCTTCATCTCAGGAGGTTGTCGCTCAGGACACAGAGAGAAATTAGATAACAAGACGCGTTGCTCCATGTTTTGGCCCGACCACAGCGCGACCCCCCCATCCCCCCACCCCCTGTTTCTTGTGGTTGTCTGTGATCTGTTGGACCACAGTCTGTGACAACCCCCCCCACCAGACACAGAGACACAACAGCCCACACGCACCCATATGCAAAAGCACTCTCACACTTCCTGTATGCCGATTAGACTCTTCTCTGCAGCACTGGAGGAAGATGGTATGTACTGTAGGCACATGTTGAAGTTAGAAGGTTAAACTCCTGTTCATGATACTGCAGTTTACGTCTTATAGTCTAACTGTTCATCTGTTGCTCAACACTTTATTATGGAAAGACATGCAGGGCAGAAAAAGAAGCAGCTTATATATAATGCATGTTGACTTCTTTGCTAAAGGCACCTTGAGGTGTTGCTTTTGGTTTGTGTTATGGTGAATATTCTACCTGTGTTCACCGCTTTACTGTGCAGCACATAAGAAGAAATCTGACTAGTTGTTGTATGCTAGTTACAGTCTGTTAGTTACACCATGTGTCTGCAGTGTTTACACATGCAAAGTGGCAGTTTTAAGATGAAGCTTAAATTCACCTCTGTATGTATGTCTGTGTATGTGACTGTATTTCTTCCAGTGGTGGGTTTGAGTGTCTTATATCCAAGCACAAACTTCCAGTTATAAAATTAAGCCAATGTAGAAGTGCCAAGAACTGCAGATGGCAACTAATGGCTATTTGAAGTAGGTGCCAAAAGTGAATCAGTCGCCATAGACTCTCGTGGTAAAATGCCCACATTTAGTTAGTGCAGAAATGAAACATTTTGACAGTTTAGCACAAAAATCAGTTATGGTCTCTACAGATGTTTTCCCCCCTTCAGAAGTTTCTTTTTTCCTGTTTCCTGGCTAAATCGTATTAAGACTTAAAGTTCGGCATCATTGTGGGCGTCTTCTGTCCATTCGATGGAGTCAGGAAACATTCTGTTTTAGTTAACACCTTGCTAAGTAAGCTTGCACCAGCACCAGGTGATAATGCCACAGCTCTGCCTTCTTGTTCCAATATGGCCACGTCTGGATCGAAACAAAAACTTAAGATGAACACGCACAAAGTACCAAAATGGGTGCTCCAAAAGTCCACACAGCTGATATCACAGTAGCTACATCCTTTTTTTTTTTTAAATATCCTATCTATGGCTCTTCCTGTCTGCTTCAGAATTTAATATGTCAGCGTTTTAGGACTAAAAAGACTCTAAATGTCCAGTCATATTTGTCTTCTTTCATTTCCAGAAGACCCAAATCTGCTTCTTTATTCTACCAAAAATGGGACTCTTTCATTGCCGTCATTGGCTGTCTCTAAACGTCACTTGAATCTTGCTATATCTGAACAGAAGTCGTGTCCAGTTATTCCAGCTACCAGTCATGCCTGGGCTACTCACTTCCAAGTCAACACACTTTTATGTCATCCTTATGCTACATGCCCAAAAATGTGTTCTCCCTGATCCCCTATGCCTATTTGTTTAGTATACTCAAGGTCAAAAAGGGATAAACACACACACACACACACACACACACACACACACACACACACACACACACACACACACACACACACAGCAAATGGGCGTTTAAAAAGAAAGAAAAGAGAAGGGCTTGTTGAATACTTAGGAATACATCCTTCCTTTATTCTGATGAACTGTGTGGTTAAAGCTGTTAACCACGGAGTTCTTTTAAATTACAACAGTACTAGTTTTTTAACGGTGGTGGACAGGTTGAAACACGTGTGCACTGTACAGAGAAGCTGCGTGTTAACTTCTTCGTGCACCAAATGATGCAGTACCTACAGTTGATAATGTAGTTGTGGGCCCTGATGAGTAAAATGGTAGATGGCTTTTGATAGTCTCAATTTAGTGATTATTATAAGAAAAGCCACAAGTTTAAACAGAGAAAGCCCTGTGGGATTAGACTAATCAGCAAACACTGAAGCACTGTGCATTAACAGAAGCAAGGAAGTGAAACAATGCACGCAAAAAAAAGTAGCAGAGCCCTACTGTAGGAGGCCAAGCCTTCCAAGGCAACCCGAACACATCAAGTTCAGTGCAGTATATTACCACATGTCACATCTTTACTGTCTCACTCATAAAATGAGGTTGCGTGTGTGAATGTTTAAGGTTGGATGATTAATCAGTTTAAAATTTTAAGATTTTGCCACATTCATTAAGTCCAAACTCAGTCGGTGTTTACTTCAGTTTGAGCAAAGATTATGAAAAGCGCGGCTTTGGTCAACAAGAGCTGTCCAACAGAAGCTAAAAACTTTTAAAATCTTTCAGGAGGTTTATTAGATGTTGTCTGCAGCTGTTTTTCTCTCCATATCTTTGAGAGTCTCTCACTAAACCTGGTTTCGGCAGCATATGACTGAAATGCCCTTTGGTTGACTGCTACGACTTTCTGTCTATTAAGTCAGCTTCTGCCTGGGCCCCTTGTTGCCCCCCCCCACCCACACCTGCAGATGTTGTGGTGGAGGCTAGCCGGCATTAGTGGTTACCCTTGCGAGACAGGTTATAGGGTCAAAAACGCTCATTAATATGCGCCTCGCTCTCTACCGGATGAACCTGTCCCCCTCCACCAACGCCACTGATTTATTTATTTTTCGTGTTAATTGTACTTAAAGAAATCCCCTTTAAGTATAATAAATAAATAAATAAACACTTTTGTTTTCACTACACTTATGATGTTTGTTAAGTTAATGAATAATCATGTTGTTTGTGTATCGTGTTTTAAAACGTGAGTGATACACTGGGGGGGAAAAAACGGAAGGACCATTAAAATAGGTCACGTGTAAGTACACAAACACACGGATGAAAATACAGGCAGCGTGGCTGATTGAGAGATTTTCTAACTGTACTTCCTCAGTCAGGGCCTCATTCACCTTCTGTCTGACTGACTAATTACTGTTTCCATTCATAAAATACTTGAGTTGCCATCATCCATATCAGTGGAGGTTAGAACGCAGTTTCTCCTTTCTCTCTGCTCGCCTCTGCTGTAGGAAACAATTTCCTGAAATTTACTTAAAATGTGTACACTCGCTGCGTTTTCTCCCATTAACTGAATGGTAACCGATTGTCCTTTGAAAAGGTCTCTGGTGGAAGCACATCATGGCTTGGGGTGATTTCTTTAAAAGCTTATTTACAGACTTCCGGATTTGGCTGAAAGAGAAATGTGTGACTTCTGAGTTTTCAGGGTTCTAGGATACTCTGGTTGATTGCCAGAGATTTTTTGCAGGCCCATGTAATCCAATTTGTGCGGTTACAGATCAAGCTCAGATGAAATCAGAGTTTTGAATGTTCTTTCTTAGTGTTTGAACTGTTTTTAAACTTTGAAGCAATTCAAAATGTGCTGTAACTGTTGTGCCATTTCCCATGTTTAGTGCTGCATGTCTTGCACAACCCTCCACATTATCCTGATCTAATTGCATTCCTATATCTTGCTCTCGTTATTTGCTCCTCTGGCTTTTTTCGTTCTTTTCTTCCATGCTTCATCCATTCATTTCTCTTACCCGCCTTCTTTTTCTGTTCCGCAGTGATTCTCATCCACTCTGGTTACTGCAATGAATGGTAACACTATCCATCCAGCCAACACCACAACAGCAGCAGGCCAAGGTGTGGCAGTTGCCCAAAAAGGCTGGACGGAATTCTGCGAGCTGCATGCCATCGCCGCAGCCCAGGAGCTGGCCCGGCACTACCGGAGTTTTGCAAGAGAGCGACCACACCATGATGTGCTTCCACCAGAGACCTTTTCAAAGCAATTTACTGACCTCTTCCAGCAACACTTCTGCTGCGAGGTCGACAAAGACGGCACGCCACTGGGTCAGAACACAAGCTCTGCCGCCTCCGGTAGCGCTCCCTCATCGTCTCCAGTGGTCCTTCGTCCTCAGCCTGTAATCACTCGAGTGCGGACTTTGCCTCGGGTGCAGGACTATCGGGAGACTGGCAGACCAAATGGAGGAGCTGCTCCACTGACTGCGTCACCGAAAGTGGAGCCGGTGGTGTTGAGCCGGGAGCAGGAGCTGCCACTGAGATGCGCTGCGGGAAACTCCTTTTCAGGATCTCGCACAATTGGCAGCGGGACACTGGTGATTCATAGCCATAGCAACGAGGAGATCTCTGGCACAGATCATCGCCAGGTATCTGAACGGTACTCTTCTGACTCTTTAACCTCGAACCCTGAAAACTCAGAAGTCACACATTTCTCTTTCAGCCAAATCCGGAAGTCTGTAAATAAGCTTTTAAAGAAATCACCCCAAGCCAGTCCGCGCTCATCCCGGGACCTTACCCCTAGGAACCCCACCACCACCAACAGTAATCTTCCAAATAATGGTGACAGAGTGGGTGCAGTTTCCTCCATCAGCGAAGAGGTGTCATCCTCTTCTTCCCACTCCTCCGAAGCCACACCCACAGCTGCTTCACACCGTCCTGGAATGAAGGAGCTGATCATGGCTCCTTTCAATAGGTTTCGTAGTAAAAGGCAGAGGCGATCCGAGGCGAGCGGCTGCTGTAAAGAGGGCCAGTTGAGGTACTTTCTGGTGGACGAAACTGTTTCAGACTCACAGCCCCGCTGGCAGCGTTGCCACCTGCTGGTCAGGAGGATCAGAGACATTCAAGGAGGAAGAGGAGCAGGGGAAAGTTACCAGTTAGAGCTCTATGATCCTCCAAAGGTAAAAACACAAGCTTTGGCACACTTTATATTCATCGTACACGCGATTCACTAAACTCTAACAGCTCAGCTGTGGTTTCACATGATAATATGTGGGCATTTCTTTGAAAACAGTTCACAGCAGGTGAAAAGTATTCATTTTTATTTTTAAATAGCTTTCTGTACAAAATTTGACTCCTGGGGTTTCTATCTGAAACAGCTTCATGACTTTTGCTTACAAAGAGAAAGATAGAGAAAGATTTGTCTTGACATCCTTATCAGTGGACTGGTGTTTCATGTAGGTTTAGCTGATCTCACAATCGTTTACCGTGGTCTTTCTTTATCTGCCACATTGCAGAGAAATCATACAGATTAAATCATTAATGCTGCTATGTGTAAGTATTTTATTTTGAAAGCTCCACTACTGGTAACCAGCTAGCCCCGGCCTAGCCCCATCTCACGTGTACACAACTACTCATGTGATCACGAGTTAAACTAAATATGCGAAAGAAGTATCATTTATATCATGAATTGTAAAACCCTTGCATGATCTTCTGGCCTGATTGCTCGCCTCTAGTTGCATGCATGAAGTGTAAGAATGGTACCGATGGCACTATTCTCAATTTTTTCAAGTTTATTTAGTCAGGCTAGTATGAATATCTTTATCTGCCTTTATTATAATTTGGAAAAGACAAAAGAGTATGAGTTGTTAGTAAAATAATTCTTTAGTTGCGCACTTTTTATAGTTTTCTTTTGGTCTCTATTGGACATAAAAGTCATCAAAGTGTGTGAGGAGTGTTTAAGTCAAGAGGTTACAGAAATACTGTTTAGCTTGTCAGGCAACTAAATATATAAAATTATGCCATGATGTTGCAAATTAAAGGAGATTGCAAATCATTTACTTTCTTTCTCGGAACACCAGACTAGAGTTTTTTTGCCTGAAAAGTCACGGTGTAACCCCTCCTGTCACCTCATATCCTCCTATATTCAAACAAATAGAATTTAGCTATGCTAGTCTGCAGCTTTTGTTAACTGTGTATGGAAAGAGACTAGTCATGCACTACAAGTGCATCCTCAGTACTTTATAGATTTGAGCGAGAAAGAAAGAAAACAAAAAATATATTTTCAGAAATGTTGAAGAAGTCAATTCAAAATATTGTCTACTGATCTACACACATCACGATTTATCTTCTTGATGCTTAGTTTGATTGCAACAAGCAGATGTTCATGAAAACCACTGATCGTTTTCTGTTGCTGCTGTTCTCAGTACAGGAGAGCTTTGCAGAGTTTCACTGGATTGTGTCTGCCGCTTTTGCAGATGTGCATGTGTTGTTTTTTTGTTTTTTTTTAAATAACCTCTTCTCAGAACTGCTCACACTGTGACATGTTACAGCTGACAGGTTTGTCATCTTGTGTTTCATATCTATGCATGGTAGGTCACTAGATCTGTTTGTGTCAATAGGATGGAAACCCACATTTGCCTTTAAAGGGCTGGGTAAAGTTTGCCAAGCAGTGTCACATACTCTTAAGTTAACGCACACACAAAAACAAGCGCACACACATTAAGGCACAAAGTCATTTCCTGTTTCCAGCTGTTTAGTTGCAGGGGTTTCCCCCCCTCCTTCAAATCATCTCTTTTCTCTGCCTGTGTTTGTTTTTGTTTGCATAAATGGTATTTTTACTGCCTCTAAGAAGCTCCTTTTAGTGAATAGTTTGCCACATGACAAAACAAGACGAAAACTGTGATGACATTTAGCTTTGCCTCAAAAAAAAAACGTCTTGTCTTACTGGCGGTTTGCATTTCACCTTTACTTCTGGTGATTCAGTGGCATCTAGAGGGAGTGTTTTGATGATAAACACAAAGCTTTTTTGTTAACCAAACTGAAAACACAAACTGAAAAGATATTAGTCATATACTCACAGCTTAGTTTAAAGGAGGGCATGAGCTTCAGGTTCACTCATGCTTTCCATGCACAATAGGGTCATCACAGTTCATAGATGATTTGTTTCACACTGGTACCCTTTAAAGATTATCCTAACTGGTTTACCCTTTAACCTAGTTAAAGAAGTGGAAATTAAGTTGCTAGTCATATGAGATAGATTTAATCAGTCCGTACTTCATTGACTATTGTTACTTATCCCTTTATTAATATACAAACATATACAGGGCATTTCTATAGCTCAGAAATATAGCTCAATATTTTCTCGCTGTGACATTTTCACTCGATTACATCAACAAATCTGCAACATTCATGTCTTCTTTTAATCCTTGGTGAGTAGATACACCTCCCACACTGTTTCCTGTTTGCTTGGGGTTTTCTGCAGCCAGTCACAACTTTTCTCCTTACACGAAGCAACCATGACATTAAAGCCGACGATCTAACATTAGTTAACTTACCCAAATGCCAGTAAAACAGCTCTGACCCTGTCAGGGTTGTGCAATGACCTGATACCTGCAGGGTTGGATTGAGCTTGTTCACAATAATCCCACAGATGGTTGGTCAGATTGGAGTCTGGGGTCTGAACAGTTTTGGTTTGAATATAGTAGAGAGTTTTAGTAAATAATTAAAAATAATGCTTATATAGCTTCAAAAATTATTTACGTTTTATCAAAGTACAGTTCAGATTAACTGTTAGGTCTATGACATCACTAACCGAACTGTAGCTGCAGCAAGTGGCAGGTAGATGTAAACAAGCAAGGTGGAAACTTAGATGGATAACAACCCTCAAACCAGCAGTACTTTGAACTGTATGCGATCCATATGTTGGCTGCAACAGAGTAAACTGGCATATAACCACTGAAGAGGAGTAGTAGGTAGCCATGTTCAGCACATGCATGTTCATGTTAACCTGCAAGTAAAGAAAGAAGAAGGCTGCTGCTAGCACTGCAAACATTAGTGCCTCACATAGCAAACTAATCTGATAATGTGCGTGAAAGTGACACATGTCAACAAGCTTTCTGACTTTTGGATTAGTCAACTATTATTATTTATTAGTAGTAGTATTTCTTCCCATTTTATCAACCAGTAAATAAGTTGCCAGTATTATCCCTTCTGTATTGTACAGTGTATTTCCAGGGGTGTTGGTCTGCCACGATGTGTAGGTGGGTGGTGATGGATGATAGGACTAAGATGATTAGTTTTATTCACTAAAGTTGTCAGTAGTTTAAATGCAATGCCTGACTGGTGTATTACTTCTTAATTAACACTTGTTAATGCCAAGTGGCAATTGTAACTTGGAAACATGACATCAGTTGTTGCTGTAAGCTCTTCGCAGCACAGCAGGATGTATTTCTTTCTTTCTTTTTCTCTTTCTCTTTTTCTCTCTCTCCTCGCATGCTTAGCTCCCCCCACAAGGCCTCATGGCATTAAACCCTGCAATATTTCCAGATGGGGCCAGCTGTGAGGCTGCATGTAGTTGCACACTTAGCCCCTAAACCAGTGATCAGAGCAGGTCGAATGCTGTCCTGGGCCCTGCCATCTATAAGGTGGCAGGGCCCAGTAAGCAGAGTTTAGTCTCTTTAGGGTGTGTGCAAGTGTGCATTCAGACACACATAAAGGTCCATGAGAGAGACATTGCATGCATGTGCATGTGTCTGAAGGCGTATGTGTGTCTGTAGAGTTTTATATTTAGCAGCCCTCGAGTCCTCAGCCGCTTACAGCCCTAACCATGTGTGTGAGGTAATTCAGTTGATTTCAGAGCCAAAGTCGTGCATGTGTGCACGTGCTTGCGTGTTTATTTAGAATGGGAAGACATTGGCAGGATTTGCCTGGCTGTTTGCAATTTTGCTTTAATGCACTGGTGCTCTGAATACGCTCTCTCTTAATGTGTGTGTGTGCGTGCGTGCGTGTGTGTGTGTGTGTGCATGTGTGATCTTGGAAGGCAGATAGATAAGGGCCTGAGAATGACCTTAAAAGGAAGGAGAGCTGTGGACTAGCATTCTCACATTTAATGTACACATGAAAAACTTGTGCATTAATTGCCGTAACAGTTATTTAAACACACCAAGCTGGAATGCGTTGAGGTTGCTATTAGTACAGTTTCCCTATTCTGAATGAAAATTGGGGTTTTTCACATCTGTAGGCAATGTGTCAGTGTGTGAGCATGCACGCCTGCACACATCACACATATCTTAGCTGCACAGAACATAATAATCCTTGAGCAAAGTACGCATGCATTTTTATTTATATCTTTATGTGTGAGAAACAGAAGTAATATCAGTGAGCTCATTTAGCACAAAGGCGCAAGCTGCATGGAAACTGATAATGAGTTTGCGTGAGAAAGCAGCAGGCAACAGCACAGTTGTCAGTTGCTTAGTATTAGCCTGAAAAGGCAATAAACCAGTAAGATGATACCCCGTAAGATTTTATGCAACACATTAGGTTGTCTGTGAGTATTGTTGTTTTAGTAGGTTGACTTTAAAAGCAAAAACATGCTAAAGGCAACAGTCAGCTAGGTTACTTCTGGGAAAGATGCAGTCACTTTTCAGCCAAGTCCTAACAAATGTCTGTTTTGTCCTATAATTATATTTAAAACTGAGGGCAGTTTCACTTCTGCATAATCTGAAGTGTTAGCCCATATTTAGGCCTGAAATAGATTTTAAGCATGCAGCTGCTATAGGTACTGTGTGGAAGATTAAAGCCTCGATTACACCGTGAGTACTCCATCCGTGTCCGTGTCTGCAGCATGGAGTATAATCAAGGAAAAGTGAGATCCCAGAAGTGCAGTTTTAAGGAACTGATCTGTGAATGCAGTTTATCTGATGGCAACACAATAAAGAACATTTTGTATCACATCATTTTATATCTCTGTACAGCTGTGGGAGTTTCCTCGGTGATTGCAAAGTGAATATATTATACTGTTTTAATATTCTACAGAAAAATAATGTCAAATATTGGTCATAAATTGCACACATTTATAGTAGAGTTGAAACACTTTACTGGGTTTCATATTAAAATTGATGAGTAACATAGAATGTGCATTTTTAGTGTTTAAAAAAAGGGCAACAAGAGAGATAATATA